GTCCTTTGTACCCGAGCCTCGGAGGTATTCTGCTTAGAGTATAAGTAGCTTGTCGGTCCCTCGCATCCGTCAGATTGCTTTGTATATCTGCCATGAGTTGGTGATTGTCTGGGACATTCCACCAAACGTTTGGTCGACCAGAAAAAGAGAGTAGAGTTACCAGTAGTCCATCTGGAAAGGCAACAAAAATATGTTCGATTATTACCTCTCGTGTTCTTACCACGACACGAAGAAATGGAATTTATTTGCCTTTAGTCGTATCTATAATGGACGTAGTCATATCTGATAATGTTGTGAAAAAGAGAGGAAAACAAAAAGCAGGACTCGAGAGTTGGTAAGAGTAATTACCCAAGATTTGGAGAGTGCTATGAATGACTATTATCCTTTTTGTTCGATACCGAGAGGGAATTATATACATATATGTATGTATATATATATATATATATATATAAATGAATGTGGGGGTAGAGTCTACCTTGGCATAAAGTGCTCAATGCTGTGGTAGCAGAGCTAAGTATACATAAGTTAAAGAATTAAAGATGACGCATCGATTCTCTGTGACTCTGAGTTTCGTGCCGCGCGCGCTTAGGCACGAAACTCAGAGTCACAGAGAATCGATGCGTCCTGGAGCACTTTATGCCAAGGTAGACTCTACTCCCACTTCATCTATATATATATATATATATATATATATATATATATAAAATATATAATGATGATAATATATATCAATACATATATATATCAATAATATTAATGATAATATATAATATATAATATAAAAATGATATTTTGGATAACAACAAAAATAATGGTAACAATCCTGTCTGCGATAATATTATAATAACTCCAATAATAATGATAATAAAAATAATAATAATAATAATAATAATAATAATAATAATGACAATACAACGAGAAAAGATACCAACCTGACACTGCGCAAATAACGAAGAAAAGCAGCAAAATTGAGCAGAACTTATTATCACGGGCCATCGCGTCTTGATGAGCCCACGACGGCAGCAGTCTGTCCTTCACAAAGGGAAATAATTCTGCAAGGACAAAAATTTTGTTTTACGCAATCTACCACTTAATGGAAAGTACTTATATTGGCGAGAAGCTTTTATGCACTGGAAAACAACGACTGTCATGCTAAACTTCGAGTAACGATTTCACTCAAAACTTATAAACTGAGTTCAATGTACTGAAAATTTTCAAAATGTTTAAATCAGTTCTTTTTTTCATAGCCTTCTCATTTGAATGTTCGTAACTAATTTTCTGTTCCGGGGAAAAATACCTGACGAGTCCACTGGCCAAATCGGTCAAGAAAAGTTAGCTAATTTGCAAGCAATAATCGTATTCAAGAGAAGATTTACTTTATATTTACAGCGTGCTTACGTCTAAGATTCCAGAAATAAAATTGCTTAAATAGTCAGGAAGGCAGAAAGAAAAGCATAGAGAACAATGCTAGAGAGATGAGATACACACAAAACAAAACCAAAAAAAAACAAAAACAAAATAAACACAAAACATAATAGCTTAACAAGTTCTAGTCACTCTCTCACACGCGGACTAGAATAAACGGTGGATCGCTGTAGTCTCCTCTTACCTTATTTAAGAAGCCCTCTGCTGATGAGAGATCCTCAAATGACTTCTTCTTTCGAACGAGTGGTTTTATTGCCAACACCCATTTATAATTTATATTCAAAAAGCCATTTCAAGATTCCGAAAACACGCATGGCTTCCAATTTTAAGTTCCAGTAATGGACAAGCAAACAAACTTCCTCTTTTGGCAGTGATACAAGAATAATGAATAAAGAATGAATATTTAATGAAAGCATAAAAAAGGAAAAAAATACGAAGGTTTATGTAGTCTCATAGAGGAAATCAGAAACGAGGAGATAAAAATGCAATACTATATTTCTCTTTACGACTCTTTTTTCTCTTCCCCCCTATATTTCTTAAATAATGAATAAAAAGCTCTGTGATTTCGCTTGAGAAAATCGCGAGAAAAAAAAAAGCTGAAAGCTTTTTCCTACGAAGCCTTTTGTTTGTCAACAATTGAATTTAGACTGTGATTAGGCTGGTTGTTAATCAAATAAAGAAAATGACATAGTTGGTGGTATAATGTAAAGAAAAAGATATTTTGAGCTCATGTAAAAGAATTATCTGTATGTGTTGTTTTGAGTCAAGGTTGAGGGGATACTTTCACTTGGTTCCCTCGATTGAAAGTATACTTGGCTCATGTCCAAAATCGACAAAATATCGCTCCTTTAAACGAAAAAGAAGGAAAGGGAAAGAGGGAAGAAAAGCGTTTTTTCTCGTTTAAATCTACAAAAGGTGAATCAGTAGGTTTCTCGGATTAGCTTTCCTTTTACCGCAGTTTTCTCAATATCATAAACTAAATAACGAATCTTGAAGTTTTAACTCTTTCACCGGATGACCCTAAAAAATATCAGTCAACAGTTCCCTAGTGTGGTTTGTTTGTTTGTTTGTTTTGCTCTCGGTGTGATGAAGTCATAGGTAATATTTTGATTTTCGCATTTTTCCAATTGAGTTGACGGTTAACAACATTATTTTCAAAAGCTTTAACTGCTCGTCAAAAGAATACGCGTAAACGAGATTAAACAGGGCCGTAGCCGATTAAGAGAACAAGATTCCTTAGTATAACGAAATGCATTTACTCACTCCATTAGGAGTGAGTAAATGCTTGATGAATAAATACTTAATGAAACATAACGGTTTAATGGCTTTAAGTAGCAAAAAGAGATATGGCAAATATTCCAAACTCAGTTTTTTTAACTACCTGGGCTGCCTTATACGGCTAAATAGAATGTGTACATTGGGGAGTGCAGCAATCGCAGTCGAACAAAGCCCCGCGATAGTGGAAAGCAAAGCGGAATCCAAAGAGTAACAGCGAAAAAAAAAAAAAAAGAAATCATAAAATCAAAAAGGAAAAATTATTGAATAAAATGAAGGTGAACACTGCTAAGATAATTTCTAATGGAAGTTTGCCCTTTTCAACATTCCAAAATTTCGTAAATCGTGAAAGGGACAAATTTAGTTCAATGAAATATTCATTATGGGCACCTGCTGAGTCACTATTTGCTGTCGCTAGTAGTAAGAATATCTATGACTGTTTGTTTGCTTTAACTTTTTAAAAAGGAAGTGATATCATAGTGAATACGTTGCTGTAATCGTAGAGGAAAGGTGGCTCGTTGGAGGATATTAAGGTGACGAAGGGTTAAGTATGCAATTCAAAATGTGTGAGGGGCTTCGTGAACTGAGGGTCAAGAAGACAAAATTGATCCAAAAGGAGAGTAAAACATTTTTCTTAACCTTTTGTTCAATGTATTCTAAGCATGAGCTGCCTTATACATTTGTTTGGGTGAAGGTGGGAGGGAAAAGAGGATGGCTCATGAATTAGGCCCATTGGATACCCTTTTCATGGCAAAACCAGAGTGCGAACATCTAAGGGGAAAAAAACCCTCCGTTTCAGTCTAATGGGACCTATTCGAGCCAATGGCATAGCTATTCCCACGTTATCTCTTGGTTTTGTGTTTTGTGTACATCGTCTTGAATCTAGATGCAGTGCGCGATAGCAGTGTCAAATGTTTTGGAACAGTAAGCCTTTTGAACCAGGATCTATCGCAAAGCTTTTCAACTGAATCTGAAAAAAATGGATCACAGATGACATCAAAACAAAAAAAAAAAACAAAAAAAAAAAAAAACAAAAAAAAAAAAAAACAAACAAACAAACAAGGGCAAGAGGCAGAACAAGAACCGTTTTGAACACACATTGCATTAGAATGATGTACAGTGGATATACGGCACCCTTAATACAAAGGACTGATGAGGTATTAGGACTTTAAACTATAGTTCAAACAGATATAAGCACATAAAAACCATTGTTGTTGGCAAAGGGAGCTAAATTTGAATTTTTTTTGCATCTGCATCAGTGAATGCAGATGCAAATGTTTAATCCGAATCAAGACTTGCCTCTCGTTACCAAATTGTGATCCCGAAAAAGGAGACTGTTCTGTAGGTAAGTCCACCCTAAAGCGAAAAAAGGAAATATTACGGTCACCTAAAGGTTTCGAAATGGGTTCAAACGCGATGTGTTATGGCTATCATGAAAGCGCAATCAAAAAGGGCAGCTAAGTATTTCTGAAGAAAGAGAGGGTATTCCTACGAAGCGTTAATCACGTTAGCCTAGAGATATTCATTGAGAGATTCATTAAGATATTCAGAGAGAGAAATGGAGAGAGAGAATCGAGCCTCAAATACAATTGCAATGATTCCTTGTAAGAGAAGATGGATTTTATTTTTGGGAAAATATCGTAAAACGTTGGTCATTTCCTAAACTGAACGTTTCCGTCGACTTCAGTAATAAAATGGATGCATAGGCGAATGAAGACAAATTCAAGTAAAAAGGTAATGAAGAAATGAATAAATGAAACAAAAGAATGATTACGATATCAATGGTACTATTTTGATGGCGTAATCGCAGAAAATACTCTGTACTTTTAAATTTCTTATTTCAGTCCACAACTAATATACCACCAAGGTGAATACAATTTCCTCTCTTGTTTTGAAATTTTAAGTCGACAGCTTCTGTCAGTCACATCAAAGCTCTTCGTCGATGTCATATGACTTTGCTTCATCGTGTAGTCGAATCTCGCTCTATTTAAGGACAAAACGTAAAATATGTATTATGTCTATTCCTCATTGTAACAGGGTTATTTACGATTTATAACATTTATAATTTACAAAAAGATGGGAATTTCAAAGTCTCGTTTGGATTACACTGAAAATGTATACTTGCAATAAAACTGATGGTACTTAAAACTAATATTTGTTCCTAGACGCCAAGCTTTAGGTAAATTTTTAACTTAACCCTAATCCTAAGCGAAATAATTTAAAGGATACAAACACAGCAGCTTTCATTTATCAGTTTTCCAAATGTTGTATGCGAAAAACTATTTGAACTTACAATCCGCGTTTAATGTTTTACCTTTTGCGCGATTGGTCTAACCGTGTCATGTGACCGAATATACCCCAATTAAAACTGGGAAATATCCTTTTATATTCCCCAGCAAATGGTATTCCCTAACTTTCATATCTTACGTGAATGAAATCCTTCGTTTAAAATTTAATTCAAAATAAGAGTTTTTTTTTTGGTTGTTGTTGTTTTGGTTGCAGAAGAAAGGACATTGTTTTTAAAGTCTTCGCACAGAACACTGAAAAATAAAATTCTCACACACCAAAGAGTAGGCTGTTTGTAAAAATTTTGTCCCGCGCCTTGCAAATATATATCAAGGATGATAATCATCTAGATTTGTCCTTGGACACCATCTGACCTCAACGTTTACAAACTGCTCGCTTCTCGGAACATGTAATTTTCCGCGGACAAATATCTAAGCATATTTTCGCGCCAAACAGTGGCCATGGTTTATATTTTTTCCGTGTGGCCCAACGGATAAAACGTTTCGTTAAAGTCTACTTAGAAGAATTGAGATCATCTCACTCTTTCCCTTTTTTTCATGGAAAACTATGACCTATTGAGACAATTACATGCGTTATACATCTTAGCCTATTTCCGGCTGTTCTCTTAATTACACTGACTGAGTTATTGCCGGTTGTACAATGCGTCATACAAACCCATATCAATTAAAACATCCGTTTCCGCAGTTTAATACGCGCAAAAAACGTCTTATAAAATCGATGGGCCTACAAAACCTAATTAAGGACTTCAGCGAGCCACAGGAAAGTCACGTTCATAGCTGTATATCATTTTACATATGTCCGTTTATCACTTCAGTACTTACCTTTTGACAGAGAAGGCAACTAAGCGACTTCTTCTCTTATTGTGGTTAGCCCATTTTTAAAAACCGGTTGTAAGACTATTGGAAACTTGTTTCTTTCTTCTTGTAGGCGCAAACACTAACACTTCTCTATCATGCTCAAATTATTCGGTAACTTTTATCTTTCATCTATCTGTGCAAGACCTATTCCATTATTAAAATATATTTTGAGTACAAAGAATGAATAGAAGCGCAGATGATTTATATCCGAACGTTCTTGGTGTATACAAAACATAAAAACCAAACAAAAAATTTACCTTTGAGGGGTCCAATGAATAACTCCGTCTTCTCCTACACCTTCCAAACCAGCAAGGAGGGCGGTCGCCTCTATTCTTTCTTCTTTTGTCGATGTTGCTTCTCTCGTCGGCTATCATAGAATTTCCTCGGCTCTCTAAACTCCAGCTCATCTTCCAAATCAACGCACATAGAAAACACAGAACGGCAAGACGCATAATTGAACACAACTACAAATATTGACTCTGGCCGACAGAATGACCTATAATCCTGCGAAGGTTCTATAACTCTCATAAACCATTGAATAACAGCTCTTATATACCTTAAATTACAACATTAATCAACGCACGGTGAATTAAGAGCATTTTGAAAGCGGCGAATACCAGCGGGAATTGGCTCGTTTAGAAGAAGACGCGTTTAATTTATTATTTTTGTGGGTACAGTGAGAGCTATACCAGAGAAGTACCACCTGTTCCCTTTGATAAATCGTACCTCCAGAGTGTTAAACACTCTCGTACCGACAATGAGAGTAATTTACTTCGGCAAGCAGTGCTCTTTAATTAAAAGAACTCTGTTTCTCCCGCCAGATCACGTACAGAAGGGAGAACTTTTGCCAGACCAAATTTAGACTTTACTTGTAATAATTGTTGATTAAAAAAGGGAACTTTTAAGTATCTACATACATTGATTTGAAAATAGTTCAGGTCAACAAGATATTTACTTTTTATTTGGATAACCATTCCTTTGTTTAATTTCAACTGCTTCCTATTCATTTTGAACTCCTCTAAATCGTCTTTTTTATCGTCTGGGATGTTAATTCATAGGTTGCTGGTAAACAGATGAAATTTAACCTGGTTAATGAAGGACTCTATGGTGAAGCAACCAAAAAAACAAAAAAAAAAAACTGACATGTATGTTCTAGAGTAAAGCACTTGTTACTATGAAAATTTTACTGAGGACAAATAACCCTAAATACTTGTTCTTTATCGAAAAGCGACGCCCGTGAAGGCGAATAGGCGAACACCAAAATTTGCGAAAGAAAAGCCACAGGGAATTTCAAGGTCTATTGCAGAGATTTTGCCGCGGTAATTATCAAATCTTGTCTTTGTTTTCAAGACTGAGTGGTGATCAAGAAAAAATTTCAAACAAATCATAGTCGTACGAGACGAGATGTTTGTCTCCCTCATGGCCATTCAGAGCAATTACAGCATGTCAATCAGTTCTCCTGTTTAAAGCCGAAAGTGAGAGGAACCGGTTGTCATTTAGACAACCTCAGTAGAATCTGCCTAATCTCACCCCTTTCCTCTGGGTAAACGAGGCAATGAATAAACTTAATGGTGAATACACATACTGTTCATTGTTGTCATCTCGCAAATCTCTTCATTTCTAGTTAATTTTTATGGCATATTTTTATCCTTTAAGCGCACTGGCCAAAGAAATTTGCTCTACTCACGTATCCGGTTCTTGACGTAATGGCGCTCGATGAATGTGAGCAGTGGTTAAGGAAAACATCAATTAAAATTTATTTATCTCAATAACTTGAAAGGTCAATCAGGAAAAGCACGCACTCTGATTGTATCTTATAAAAAACTGATAATACAAAAATAATTCAACTATATCTCGCAAGGGTATCACTCTACAGTGATTCAACTTGGAAACTAGTGGCTCTCGACTCTGACAATAACACAGGACTTTGTTGTTGGCTGATTACACCCAATCCAATTTCCTTTCTTGTTTGCATTTGTTGAAATGGACGTTGAAGGTATGGAATCCATTTAAATAAATATTTATTTTTAGCAGAATTACTGACAAACCATTCCGTGAGAAACCAAGTATATATAAAGACTTGAATCAACGCCAAAATTATAGGAAAATAGATATCGTCAAAAAAGAGAATATTCCGATATGTTTAGCGCTTTTCATTTCGAGATCCAAGCGTGGTCGCAGTCATTCGAATGTTGTAATGAAC